GGACATCCAAAATAAAACCCCTTGATTGGAGTGAAACCGGAAGTATTTAATTATTAACCATAAAGGCTGTATCGGTTAGTTCATGCCATGATAAAAAACAAATCTTTATGAGTATACACGCCAAAGAGAAGGACCCCATGAATTCATAAGGTGACCCAATCAAAAACACTAGAACCAGGCTCCGCTGAAGAACCAGATTTCTTATAATAACCTGATGCCTGTCCAAGCCGAAGCCCTTAAAGCAGAAAGAGACGAAGCACTGTCCACTTTTGATCTGCCATTGGTATTATGTTAAAGCTATGTTATAGATGGTTTCTTTGAAGATATACAGTTATTTATATAAATACGACGTATATGCGATCTTACACGAGTTTCCGTTTCATATGACATTATGAGTCTAATTAATCGAGCCTATGGCGAGCTCAATTGAATTAAAGCAAGCATATTCGTGGAATTTATATCCCCCACTTGCAGGAGATACTGTAGGTAAACATTAATGAGGTTAGGTTTTAACATGTGAGTATCGTGCTGTTGAGACATAATGTATAGCTTGAAACTCGGAAAAAAAGCCTTATATAGAAGTTAGACTTTTCATTGAACATGTTGGTATTACGGTGTAAATTAATCGTTTAATATATCAGAATTTACTTACCTCATTAATTATCCGTAAATATTCACAAATCACATCGGTTGGCAAACTTAGCATAAGTCGAATGTGCATATGGAATTTGGTTGAAAATCTGCACAATATCTACAGCAATTATCACATGAAAACCAAAAAGTGCCCGAGACGGGTGGAAAGACAGGAACACAAACATTTTAAAGGCTAATATTTGCTAGAGTTATTCAGCGGAAACTGCAGATAATGCCGTTTTTCGTTAATCAAGTTATATATATAACTCCGCCAAATGGGGTCCGAGTAAAGTGGTTGTAACACTTGGCTGAGCCCTTAATGCGTTGAACCCTGTAATTAAGTTTGAAGATAATCGGATATTATTTGCGAGAGTGAATGAACAGAAACGGCAGACAACGAAGTTTTTCGTTATCGAACGTTTTTGAGCCCTTGAAGCATTTAACCCTGTTACCAAGTTTGAAGAAAATAGATTAACATTTGTTGCAGTTATTGCACGGAAACGGAGCGTGACAGACAGACGGACAAACCCAAATCAATATCCCCTGTTTCGATGAAAGCGGGGGATAACAATTGAAACTTACAACCGATCACAGGGCTGATAGGTCATATTGCATGGTTTAATACGCAAAAAATATGACATGGGTATGTTCACTGGATAACACAGTAAATATTGTGATTAAACCAATTTCAAAGAAAAATAACAAGGAATTAGTTTATATGATAATAAGAAAGAATTTGAGGTTTCTATATACCGTTTTATCACAACCGAGGTCGTCTCAAAGCGGTTAACACATTATTATCCCTGGCTATTGAGCCGTTGCTACAAGCCAATGCCTTTCGCACCTCCGTAGGGAGCAAACAGTCGGTGCTGCCTTTTAGGCAGCATAGCTAACATTATAAAGTTACAGCACTGCCCAACCACATACTCATTTACAGCTGAGTAGACTGGAACAAGCGGAGTAAAGTATATAGTTCTAAGATCCAACACAGTGCCAAAACGAGATTCGAGCCCGCAACCCTTGCGTCCTACCACTAGACTACCGTGCCGCTATACGACCAAATGAAAGTTAACATTTCGTCTGGTGAATATATATTGTAGTTTGTTATGTTCCCTATTGTTAACAGATGTATATGTATTTACATACATGACAAGTTAAAATTAGGGCAACATATAGGTCTGTAAAGCATTAGCACTTGTATAATCAATCTGCAGACAAGTACACTTAGCTACACATAGATACAAGTTATGATGTCATTTATCAAATGTATAATCATATGGTGACGTATACCTGTACGTTTCCGGTCACCAGTTCCTTTTTACTTCCTCGTGCTACTGTTCCTCGTCTATCAAGGAAGTGTTCTGATTCATATCGGATCCTACTTCGGTGGCACCGTATCTGTAAGTACAGAAAATTAAAAGTAGAACGTACATGTATAATTGATCGTTGTGTAAATGTTGATAAGGTATATGTTAATAAGGGACGTACATATATGTACTTGCAAAGCATAAACTATGTCACTAAAGGTGAACTGGTTTATTCGTATCATTGTAAGCCTGTGTTATATTTTACAATATCATTGAAACTATTGCAAAATAAATTGTGCAAGAATATACAAATAATGATTAACTGTGATATTGATGAAATTTATTTGATTATATTGTACTTTCAGTTTAGGTTGAATTAACGCAACAAAATAACATTAGGGTATACAGTTTATTTTTAGAAGACACCTAACGCGTTATACCCGTAGGTGTATAGTGTGTATAGTAGTAGTAGTAGTATATCATAAGCAATGTTCCGCATCACCTATCTTAACAACATGGACAAATACCATTCAAATTGACAATAACATACACTGGTGCAGTATTATAATCTCAAAATGAGCAGTACCCCGTGTATTGTCATCTCCAGTAATAAAACAAAACATGTAAGCATTGTGAATAAGTATGTACATGAAAACCAAAGAATGCCCGTGATGGGTGGAAAGACAGAGAACACAAACATTGTTATCAATTTTAAAGGCTAATATTTGCTAGAGTTATTAAGCGGAAACTACAGATAATGACGTTTTTCTTTAATCAAGGGGCCATAACTCGCCAAATGGAGTCCGAGTAAAGTGGTTGTAACACTTGGCCGAGCCCTTAATGCGTTGAACCCTGTTACTAAGTTTAAAGATAATCGGAAAATATTTGCAAGATTGAATGAACAGAAACGGCAGATAATGACGTTTTTCGTTATTCAAGGGGCCATAACTCCGTCAAATATAGTCAGCTGAAAGTGGTCATCGAAATTCTTCGAGCCCTTGAGGCATTTAACCATGTAACCAAGTTTGAAGAAAATAGATTAACATTTGTTGCAGTTATTGTATGGAAACGAAGCGTGCCAGACAGACGGACAAACCCAAATGAATATCCCCTGTTTCGATGAAAGCAGGGGATCACAGGGCTGATAGGTCATATTACATGGTTTAATACGCAAAAAATATGACATGGGTATATTCACAAAGAAAAAGAACAAGGAATTAGTTTATATGATAATAATAAATAATTTGAGGTTCCTATATACCGCTTTATCCAACCGAGGTCGTCTCAAAGCGGTTTACACTATATTATCCCTGGCTATTTAGCCGTTGCTACAAGCCAATGTCTTTCGCATCTCCGTAGGGAGCAAACAGTCGGTACTGCCATTTAGGCAGCACAGCTAACATTATAAAGTTCCAGCACTGCCCAACCACATACTCATTTACCGCTGAGTAGACTGGAACAAGCGGAGTAAAGTATATAGTTATAAGATCCAACACAGTGCCATAACGAGATTCGAGCCCGCAACCCTTGCGTCCTACCACTAGACTACCGTGCCGCTATACGACTAAATGAAAGTTAACATTTCGTCTGGTGAATATATATTGTAGTTTGTTATGTTCCCTATTGTTAACAGATGTATATGTATTTACATACATGAAAAGTTAAAATTAGGGCGACATATAGGTCTGTAAAGCATTAATACTTGTATAATCAATCTGCAGACGTGTACACTTAGCTACACATATGGATACAAGTTATGATGTCATTTATCAAATGTATAATCATATTGTGACGTATACCTGTACGTTTCCAGTCAACAGTTCCTTTTTACTTCCTCGTGCTACTATTCCTCGTCTATCAAGGAAGTGTTCTGATTCATATCGGATCCTACTTCGGTGGCACCGTATCTGTAAGTACAGAAAATTAAAAGTAGAACGTACATGTGTAATTGATCGTTGTGTAAATGTTGATAAGGTATATGTTAATAAGGGACGTACATATATGTACTTGCAAAGCATTAACTATGTCACTAAAGGTGAACTGGTTTATTCGTATCATTGTAAGTCTGTGTTATATTTTACAATATCATTGAAACTATTGCAAAATAAATTGTTGTGGAAGAACACACAAATTATAATTAACCGTGATATTGATGAAAATAATTTGATAGTATTGTACTTTCAGTTTAGGTTGAATTAACGCAACAAAATAACATTAGGGTATACAGTTTATTTTTAGAAGACACCTAACGCGTTATACCCGTAGGTGTATAGTGTGTATAGTAGTAGTAGTATATCATAAGCAATGTTCCGCATCGCCTATCTTAGCAACATGGACAAATACCATTCAAATTGACAATAACATACACTGGTGCAGTATTATAATCTCAAAATGAGCAGTACCCCGTGTATTGTCATCTCCAGTAATAAAACAAAACATGTAAGCATTGTGAATAAGTATGTACATGAAAACCAAAGAATGCCCGTGATGGGTGGAAAGACAGAGAACACAAACATTGTTATCAATTTTAAAGGCTAATATTTGCTAGAGTTATTAAGCGGAAACTACAGATAATGACGTTTTTCTTTAATCAAGGGGCCATAACTCGCCAAATGGAGTCCGAGTAAAGTGGTTGTAACACTTGGCCGAGCCCTTAATGCGTTGAACCCTGTTACTAAGTTTAAAGATAATCGGAAAATATTTGCAAGATTGAATGAACAGAAACGGCAGATAATGACGTTTTTCGTTATTCAAGGGGCCATAACTCCGTCAAATATAGTCAGCTGAAAGTGGTCATCGAAATTCTTCGAGCCCTTGAGGCATTTAACCATGTAACCAAGTTTGAAGAAAATAGATTAACATTTGTTGCAGTTATTGTATGGAAACGAAGCGTGCCAGACAGACGGACAAACCCAAATGAATATCCCCTGTTTCGATGAAAGCAGGGGATCACAGGGCTGATAGGTCATATTACATGGTTTAATACGCAAAAAATATGACATGGGTATATTCACAAAGAAAAAGAACAAGGAATTAGTTTATATGATAATAATAAATAATTTGAGGTTCCTATATACCGCTTTATCCAACCGAGGTCGTCTCAAAGCGGTTTACACTATATTATCCCTGGCTATTTAGCCGTTGCTACAAGCCAATGTCTTTCGCATCTCCGTAGGGAGCAAACAGTCGGTACTGCCATTTAGGCAGCACAGCTAACATTATAAAGTTCCAGCACTGCCCAACCACATACTCATTTACCGCTGAGTAGACTGGAACAAGCGGAGTAAAGTATATAGTTATAAGATCCAACACAGTGCCATAACGAGATTCGAGCCCGCAACCCTTGCGTCCTACCACTAGACTACCGTGCCGCTATACGACTAAATGAAAGTTAACATTTCGTCTGGTGAATATATATTGTAGTTTGTTATGTTCCCTATTGTTAACAGATGTATATGTATTTACATACATGAAAAGTTAAAATTAGGGCGACATATAGGTCTGTAAAGCATTAATACTTGTATAATCAATCTGCAGACGTGTACACTTAGCTACACATATGGATACAAGTTATGATGTCATTTATCAAATGTATAATCATATTGTGACGTATACCTGTACGTTTCCAGTCAACAGTTCCTTTTTACTTCCTCGTGCTACTATTCCTCGTCTATCAAGGAAGTGTTCTGATTCATATCGGATCCTACTTCGGTGGCACCGTATCTGTAAGTACAGAAAATTAAAAGTAGAACGTACATGTGTAATTGATCGTTGTGTAAATGTTGATAAGGTATATGTTAATAAGGGACGTACATATATGTACTTGCAAAGCATTAACTATGTCACTAAAGGTGAACTGGTTTATTCGTATCATTGTAAGTCTGTGTTATATTTTACAATATCATTGAAACTATTGCAAAATAAATTGTTGTGGAAGAACACACAAATTATAATTAACCGTGATATTGATGAAAATAATTTGATAGTATTGTACTTTCAGTTTAGGTTGAATTAACGCAACAAAATAACATTAGGGTATACAGTTTATTTTTAGAAGACACCTAACGCGTTATACCCGTAGGTGTATAGTGTGTATAGTAGTAGTAGTATATCATAAGCAATGTTCCGCATCGCCTATCTTAGCAACATGGACAAATACCATTCAAATTGACAATAACATACACTGGTGCAGTATTATAATCTCAAAATGAGCAGTACCCCGTGTATTGTCATCTCCAGTAATAAAACAAAACATGTAAGCATTGTGAATAAGTATGTAGTATTTGAGGCACACGTTGCCCTGTCACGTTGCATTAAATATCGAGGTTTGGGGAGGAGATGATTTCAATACTTTTGTTCATTAGGCAGCACTGAACACGGGTGTGATTTGTTTGATTCATCTGTGCATTAATTTCAAACTGGAGCAGTTGCCGGGAATGGAAGGGATTTTCATTATTGAACCTAAATATTGTAACTTTACTTTTAACAAAAAGTCGTCAATTTAGAGTTATAAATTATACAAGAGTTGATATTAAAAATATGCCATACATTTTATTGCTATTCAAAAGTATAGCAGACACAAACTTTGAAATAATTTGGTTAAACTTTTATTACTGATGCATTTCCGTATTTATGCACCTTATCAGTATAAACGTTTATGATATAAATAATCGGCCACAGAAACTGGTCACGAAACAGCGTTGTTCAACGACGAGATTAAGTTCTCATTGTAGAGTAAAGAAAGTGATTACAAACTGAAACAACGCTGTTAAACAACATAGAATACATTGCTGTTAAATTTCCTTCAAATTCGACAAATTCTCATTAATTGGTCAGCTATTGATCATGAAATACTACCAGCCTGTGTTACCTCTTCAGAGTCGTCGGGTTAGTTTCCACTCAACCATCTGTCTGGAAGTTCTAGCACAATTGATGTGGCAGGATGCGATGTACACATATAATGTAATCTTCAGCATAATTCGGAATCTGACGCTGTACGGCTGGTCTAGCTTCAACTCTATTCTTCCCTGGTATGACGTAAAAAAACCCAAAAAGTGTCCCATTTACGGGAAGTTAAGATTATGATATTTAGTAGGTACTAATTCCGCTTAGGACAGGTAGAAGTGGTACAAGTTACTCGCAGTATCTCGGCATTCAGCTGACAGATGTTTATGCTGGTTTTCGACAATTTTGGTTTTCGGATCATAAACAATAACAAGAGGCACACAGGGCCTATATCGCTCACCTGGATTATCTAAGCAATTATGGCAAAATATTCTCAAAATGAGATCCAAGGGAATATGTTGCATATCTGTATTAGATTTTTCATGCCCAGCAACTTTATGTATGGTTATGGGGTGGGGATCTGAACTGTTTCAAAGCTGTGACTCAAAAACTAGGTCCCTAGGGTTGTGACCAGACTCCAGGATCAATTCTAATATCTAACTGCATTCGTCTCTTTTTGCCAATCATTTGTTTATATAGTTTTGGGGTGTGGATCTTAACCATTTCGAAGTTATGACCCAGGGATTAAGTCTCCAAGGGTGGGGCGGACCCCAAGACCATCCTGGAAGCACATGTCCGTTCATCTCTTTATACTCAGCAATTGTATATAATATGGTTAAAGGGTGGGGATCTCGAATGTTTCCAAGCTGTTACTAAGAAACTAGGTCCGTCGGGGTTCAGTCAGACCCCTGAGCCTTTTCTAATTTCATGATTGCATTTGTCTCGTTATGCCAAGCATTTGTATACATAATTTTGGGGTGGGGATCTCAACTGTTTAAAAGTTATGACCCAGGGACTATGTCTCTAACGGTGGGGCTAGACCCTAGGGCCATCCTGGAAGCAAATGTGCATTCTTCTCTTTATACTCTTTATACTCAGCAATTGTATATATGGTTATACAGTGGGGATCTCAACCAAATAATACCCCTTTTTTTACCCCACTCCTTAGCCCGGGGGTCAGTCCTACCATCTGTACAATTTTGAATCCCTGCCTCCCATGGATGTTTTTGATCAAATATGATTGATATCCATTGCATAGTTCTACAGAAGACGTCGCTTATAGCAATATAGCCAAATTGCCCCTTATTTGCCCCGCCCCTCAGAACCCTGGGGAGTCAGCCCCATCATTTGTACAATTTTGTATCACCATCACCCCAGGGATGTTTCCGGTCAAATATGAATGATATCCATCACTTAGTTCCAGAGACGAAGTCGCTCAAACCAATATAAACAAAATTTCTCCTTTTGTCCAAGCCATTCAGCCCCCTGGGGGGTCAGCCCCACCATTTTTACAATTTTGAATCACCACCACCTAGGGATGCTTCTAGTCAAATATGGTTGATATTTATCACTTAGTTCAAGAGAAGAAGTCGCTGTCAGCCCCACGGTTTGTACTATCTTGAATCCCCACCACCAAGGAATGCTTCCAGTCAAATATGGTTGATATTCATCTCTAAGTTCCAGAGAAGAAGTCGGTTAAAGCTATAAAGCAAAATTGCCCCCTTTTCCCTTTTAGCTCCGCACCTCAGCCCCCTGAGGGTGGTCAGCCCCACGATTTGTACAATTTTGAATCCCCACCATCTAGGATGCTGCCAGTCAAATATGGCATCAGCTCACATTGATCCTTCGGACCAGGTGAGCTAATAATATATGCATCGCTATTTTCGTTCAGGGTACACGTTATTGCTTGAACTTTTCACAAATAACTTGCAATTATAAATTGATGAATGCACTGCGACATCGGCCGCTGATGACATCACCCCACATAATATCAGATATCATGACCACTGCTTAAAACTTAATTGTCTGTTATGACCAAAATCTGTTATTTTTAATGTTTTAGTTATTTGAAAGCCATCGTTTCCTTTTTTGGTTGTTTTTTTGAGTTTTTAGGCAATATCTAAAAAAAAAAATTGTTTTCGTCCAAAAACGAAATTATCTGTACTAGCCAAATTTGTAACATTATGAAAGGTCCTTTTCCTGTAAATCTACACATGTAAAGGGACTCTTCAGACAAGGATTTATTTTATTTTATTGATCTTAGTCACCGGTGAAAAGTTTGAATTTCCAAAATAACCATATACTGACTATTGTACTATGTTTTGCGTTCTGTGTGGACTTATTTTATGTTTTTGTTGAAAGTGTTTCCTAACTTTGTATTTCCTTACAATTTTTTTTCCCGATGAAGACACCATTATCATAGGGAGGACTTGTCAAAAAGACGAAAATGACAAACTTAATTTGATTGAACATATTAGGAAGCGTCTACCAAATTGGCATATCCTGTTGTCAATCTTTCTCTAGTTTCAAATTGAGTCTCACCAGTGGCTAATATGAACCTTTGAAAATGATATTTTTCGGATGTAGCCTTGGAAAATAGTCTGACTTCAAAACAAACAAAACAGCGAGCTCCAACCAATTTCCATTGCGATATGTTATAGTTGTACAGTATAACATTTGGATTCCGGATATGTTATAGCTGTACAGTATAACATTTGGTATCGTGATACGTTAAAGTTATACAGTATAACATTTGGTATCGTGATACGTTAAAGGTATACAGTATAACATTTGGTATCGTGATACGTTATGATTGAACAATATAACATTTGGTATAGTGATACGTTAAAGTTATATAGTATAACATTTGGTATCGTGATACGTTAAAGTTATACAGTATAACATTTGGTATCGTGATACGTTAAAGGTATACAGTATAACATTTGATATCGTGCTACGTTATAGTTATACAGTATAACATTTGGTATCGTGATACGTTAAAGTTATATAGTATAACATTTGGCATCGTGATACGTTAAAATTATACAGTATAACATTTGTTATCGTGCTACGTTATAATTGAACAGTATAACATTTGGTATCGTGATACGTTATAATTGTACAGTATAACATTTGGTATCGTGATACGTTAAAGGTATACAGTATAGCATTTGGTATCGTGATACGTTAAGTTTATACAATATAACGTTTGGTATCGTGATACGTTATAGTTGTACAGTAAAACATTTGGTATCGTGATACGTTAAAGTTGTACAGAATAATATTTGGTATCATGATACGTTAAAGTTATATAGTATAACATTTGTTATGGTGCTACGTTATAATTGAACAGTATAACATTTGGTATCGTGATACGTTATAATTGAACAATATAACATTTGGTATAGTGATATGTTAAAGTTATATAGTATAACATTTGGTATCGTGATACGTTAAAGTTATACAGTATAACATTTGGTATCGTGATACGTTAAGGTTATACAGTATAACATTTGGTATCGTGATACGTTAAAGTTATATAGTATAACATTTGGCATCGTGATACGTTAAAATTATACAGTATAACATTTGTTATCGTGCTACGTTATAATTGTACAGTATAACATTTGGTATCGGGATACGTTAAAGGTATACAGTATAGCATTTGGTATCGTGATACGTTAAGTTTATACAGTATTACGTTTGGTATCGTGATACGTTATAGTTGTACAGTAAAACATTTGGTATCGTGATACGTTAAAGGTATACAGTATAACATTTGGTATCGTGATACGTTAAGTTTATACAGTATAACATTTGATATCGTGATACGTTATAATTGTACAGAATTACATTTTGTATCGTGATACCGTAAAATTATATAGTATACACTTTTTCCATTGTGATACGCTATAGGTGTACAGTTTTATATTTGACATTGTGATTCATTTACATACATAGACCCACATACAGATCTATACACGCAAACATATTATATACATACATACACATAGTCGTGTACTACACAAAACAAATACATACGTATACATACTCACAATCCATAAGCTAGGGGTTGACACATCTATAAACAGTGTACATTATTCCCTTTTGTAGTGCATATGAACATGTATATTAGCAAGTTATCACCAAATTATCTATATGTATATTAATGTGTATACAAGGGCATAAATACGTTTAAAAAATAAACAATATTTAATAAGTGTTATTCATAGGTTATATAGGTGACCAACTAATTCGGGTTCATTGTAATGATGGTGTTAATTGGTTTTGTTTTATAAGTTTCTCCTTTATAATTAACATTTATATTAAGATCATTATTTTTACCAATTTTATTCCGTCCCCGACCTTTTTAATCCCCCATCTTTATAATCTTTCACCAGAGTTTGTCTTTCATTTTTTGTTGTATTTGACTGTCATATAAATTCGGAAAAGAAAGTGGTTAAGTACTGAATCATGTTTTTATTCGGGTTTGTTATTGCAATGAACATATGTGTTTTGGGGGGATTTTGAGAGACATAAGATCTTACTGTTATTTCTTTAGGAGTGATATTTCTTCTAGACCATTGTTGAACATTAATTACATCTCATTTGTTTTGTTTATGTAGTTAAGGTCTGTAAATGCATCTAGTTAAACCGAAAAATGTATTCCCAATAAATTGAAAGCGGGTCATTCCAATTAAGTTTCCATCTATAATTATAAACATCCGCACTGGAATCTTGGAGCCTATCCACACAACGTGGATGTTGTTCGTGTTTACTTATAGTCCTAATTAATGCATATATTTTTTCTCAAGTTTTCAAAGTGCTGTGAATGATATCTAAGAACCATCTAGAATAAAACTTGTGTCATCGGCGAACTGTGAGAGTTTTAGATTTACATTAATGCCTTTTATGTTCCTTTAATACTTTACCAGAATAGCCAAGATTTCAGCCACAAGTAAGAAAAAATAAGTTGAAGCCGAGTCTCCTTGACGACAGCCTCTTAAAATAGAGATAAAGTTTGATAGGAAGCCATTTTGTATTACTGTAGATGATGTTTGACTATTAAAAGTTTTGATCCATTTATAATGCTGTTTCCAAAATTAAAATATCTGAGTACTTCGTATATAAAAGACCTTGAAACGGAGTCGAAATCTTTCTCGAAATCGCCTGGGAGCAAAAGTTCAGCAATATGGTTTTCCTCTGTAAAATGCATTGGGTCATATATTAGTCTGGTGTTTTCACCTATATAAAGTGTATTTACCACTTAGATTTTCTGATATTATTTAATCAAGTACTTTTTTTAATCTGATGGATATACGTGCAGATACTAGTTTATATATTACATTCAAGAACGTTATCGGTCGCCAATTCTTCAAATATTGTCCGTGTTTTTCACCTTAAGGGATACGTGTCTTTGTCTTTGAGTTATTGAAAACCTTTCCTTTTCATATCCTTGATTTAATGAATTGAGTATAATCAATATTTTCCCTAAATTATCGAATTTTAGTTCCAATTATGGTTATGTTGACACTTCGGTATAAGCTTATTGTTTTTAAGAATGGAATCATTCATCTTTCACTTTATTTTACAATTTCAGTGGATCTACATCAATCGATAAAAATATTCATTAACATGGATTTAGTCCACATTGCTGATCTTCTTCTGCGTTTGAAGGAAATTGGCGATAATCTTCTGCCACACGATATGGAAAAGCTTCATTTCATTTGTGTTGGACTCATACCATACTCATATGAATTACGCAAATTGGATGCGTTTTCTCTGCTTTCGGAAATTGCTACAAAACATACAATCGAAGGTGTCGTTGAAGCTTTGATAAGGATCCATAGGATAGACTTGCTTAATATGCTTGTACAAGACCAGGATCAACAGGACTTGGCCAGAAGAATGTATTCTGTTTTGAACACCACACACTTTGATAGACTAAGGTACGCAAAAGATGACAAATGTGTATCAAACCAATCTGCTTAAAGGTTTATTTTGTAAGGCTATGAGGTTATAGCTCCAGTTGGGCACGTGTAAACTTAATAAATGACTCCAATTAACATGTGCTCAACTGGAGTTATAACCGCATAACCTGACCAAAAAAGAAAGTAGTCCTTATATTTGCAAGATTTGTTTATGAATAGTTTATTAATCTTTCATTCGTTGGTCTGAACAGCGTGCTCAAAGTTCGTTCTCAAAAGGTATCAACGTGCGATCAGTTCAGTAAAAGTAGCAGCCGGAAAGTGGCATAAGCCTGGTTAACTCCCCCACATTTACTGCTGATGACGTCACACAACTATGTTTTGCTATCAGAAAAAAATGTCCATAGCTTCGCACATGCATTGCTATTGACGTCATTGAAAGCGCCAAAGTTATATGGTCAAGTAATGGGATGATAAACGGACCAATGGTCATTGAGTAATGTCGCGTAATCTGTATCTAGAATGTTATAAATCATTGCGATCAAACGTCTTAAGTTCCATTTATTCATGTAAATACTGTCTAGGTAGAAAGTAACAACAGATATAACATGATATTAATCGTATTCGTTTCAGGGTAGCGCTGCTTAATATAGCAGATAACATGACAGACGATGAAGATCTAAAAATACTCAAGAAAGTCGTAGAAACAAAAATAGTTAAGAGCAGTCTTCATAAAGTTCAAACTGTGCTAAAATTGTTTGATCTGCTCATGCAAAATATCATCCTTGATCCCAATCAACCTGAGACTGTGCAAGCAGTGTTCCACATTTTCGCAGAGAAATCCTGGTTCACCAAAGTTCAATCTGAATACGGTAAGTGTAAATCAACTGTCGACACATTCGTTTGATTGTATATGCCATATTTTTATACCAATATCAGATATTGTTTGAGACACCAGGTACTTAAAGCTAAAGTATTATATGTGATAGTTATTGCTATTGTAATATTATCACAAAACATGCAATACATGTATATACAATTTCATATTATATATGATATATTAAGTTTCCGATTCTTTATGAACTAAAGTTCGTATGATTTGTTTGATTTTACATATAAAACTTTAAGGGCAAGATTCAAGAGGTGAAAATATTATGGGAAACTCCTATTCCCTAATCATCTAGTGGTATGATCTGCAAATAAAAGATATCAATGTTTTCTCTGATTATGAAGCTGAATTACGGGAGGATTTTAAGGACTTCTTCTAGTCGCTTTCGTTCCTGTAAACACTCCCAACAGTAATACACATTTTTAACATAATTAAATCAAGAAAACTAAATGGTGTTAGTTATTAATGTATCCTACGATGATAATTAGTTATTATTACCTTTTTTGGAATAAAGAAAATTCTTCCACAAAAAATCAAAACCAAAAATTTCACTTAACTGAACTTAATTTTATGCAGATATCAATTATCATCAACACGATTATTATGTATGATGGAATTTTCAATACAGAATATTTGTAATATTTTTTGACATCTTAAAACAGTTGCTCCTGCTGCAGTAGAAGAGATGAGAGAACGTACACAACAAGGTAAGTAATCCTTTTACATATTGATAAGACTGGACTATGACGCGACCATATCTAAGTTAAAGAAGGCCTAGAATAGTCTATCCTCTGTGACAATGTTTTGTTATGAGCTAGCTCTTTGTGATGTCGTAAACCCCCAAGGAATCAAATAATTCATCATGACCATTACTCAAAATATTGCAATGTACTACGATTTGACCTAGATTTGCATTGCGGGTGTTTTCGATCAAGCCCAGTGACCATGCCTTTCTTAAACATTGTGCCTTTTACTTTTGAAAAGTTTTTTCCTGAAAACCAGTGTCCATTGGAATATGCCCATTCAGTAGTTTGATCGATTTTCAGTTGTTCGAATAGTTTTTAAAATACATGAGACCTGAGGTAAAACAAACAAACAAAATAAACAATGAATATTTCACTTATATTTTCGACTGTATTTAGGCATTGGCCGTAGCAAAATAAATTAAATAGCAGAGCTTTCAAAGGGGAATTTTATAATTAACTCATCCGATTTTCACAAAACATACGCTTGTATAATTTGGTGTGAATGCTTAAGGCTAGGCCCGGTGTGTCCGTACCTGAACTTATTTAAAGAACGGTTCTTGATCCAAAACAATTCCATACTAGTAAGATTCATGTAGGAACTACAACGGAAACATAGAAAGCTAAATATTTGTACTCACTATTTGTAAATGTTGTTTTCGAAATTCTTCAAATTAAGTTATGTTTAATTAACTGTTGCTCATTTAACTCCTTTTCGTTTTAGCTACGTATTTTTAATACAATTATCTAATACAATAAATACAATACTATATGTTAAAAGAATATGAAATATGATTACAGTATAACATTTGATATGTTTACAGGAAATAATACAAAACAAGTTCAATAATTTTGAATGAAATTATTTGTTAAACACCATTGATATCATTGAATACTTAGTATGCATCAAAAACAAAGACTGTTTAAATATTATGAATCAAATAAATATTGATTTTGATTTATGTGTTATCATCGCTTTTCTTTGTAATGTTATCACAAAACATACAATACATAATCAAATGATATACCAACTTCCCGAGACGTTAGGAATTTTAGTTAGTTTATAATATATTTGCTTTTACAAAATAATTTTAGGGCAAGATATAGGAAAAATATATATTTCTTAATTTGCACCTAGGAAAAGTTATATTTTCCTGGAGAGGTGAAAATATTATGTTATACTCCGATTCCTCACTCCTCTGGCGGTATAATCTGTCGATACGAGATATAAATGTTTCTTTGATTATGAAGCTGAATTACAGGAGGGTTGTTTTTACTTTTACTATTCGCTCACTCGCTAATCTAGCTTTTCGTTCCTGTAAACATTCCCCGCATTAATACAAATTGTGAATACAATTAGATCAAGAAAAGCAAATGGTGTAAGTTGTTAATGCAGCATCTTAAGGTAACCTGTTATCATTTATTTTTTTGGAATAAAGAAAATCACAATACAAATATCTAAACCAAAAATTGCAAAAATTTTCAAAACATATACATGTATGTGCAAATATTAGCAACAATATTTCATGTGTAATGACCATTCATCATTCATTATACAACCTTTTAATATTTTTGACATCTTAAAACAGTTGCTGCTGACGTGACAGAAGTGATGAGAAGACGTACACAACTAGGTAAGGAATATTTTTACATATAGATAAGACTGGAATGTGATGCTACCATATCTAGGTTTTGTCATTTTAAACAGCCTAGAATTATCAATCCTCTGTGACATTGATATGTTTTGAGCTAACTCTTTGCGAATGCGTTAACTCCCCAGGATTCAACCAATTAATCGTGACATTGCCATGTACTACGATTTGACTGGGACATACATGGCGAGTGTTTTCGATAAAGTCGGTGGAACGTGCCCTTCTTGGCCATCTTTTCTTATTTACCTTATACCCTTTAAATGTTTCCCCCCTATAAACCAGTGTCTATTAAACTATATCCATACAGTAGTTTAATCGATTTTGAGTTCGAATTACGGTTTTATAAACAATCGATTTTTGTTTGTTTTTTGATCATGTGTAAGATGATGTTCAATTTAATTCATGAAAACTGTCTATAGTTCTTAAAATACATGGACCTGATATTAAACAAACAAACAAAAGCAACTGATACAGGTATCCTTTGGGAAGACGGCCGTGGTAAAATAAAAAAAAACCATCAGAACAATCAAAACGGAATTCAAGAAATAACTCATCTGAGTTTTGCAAAACAGACGCATATATAAAGGTTAGGCCCGGAGTTTCCGCACCTGTACTCATTCAGAAAGCAGATTATGATTCTAAACAATGCCGTACTGGTGAGATACATGTGCCTTACTGGAACTACAACGGAAACGTAGAAAACTGAATGTTTCTACTAACTATTTGTAAATGTTGTTTTCGTAAACAACTGTTGCTCATTTAGCTTCTCATCGGTTGAGCTAAGTATTTCTAATTCAATAAATGCAGTACGATATGTTAAAATAATAATAAAATGATTACAGTATATTGATAATACTTAATATGATTCCAGAAAATAACATGAAACTACTTCAATAATTTTGAATTAATTAATTTGTGAAACAACATTGATATCATTGATTAATTAGAACGCATCAATGAACGAAGATTGATTAAATATTATCAATCAAATACGTATTGATTGATGGTTATCATCGCTTTCTTTTGTAATATTATCACAAACATATAATACATAACTATATGATGTATCAACTTTCTGAGACGTTAGGCACTCCAGTTGGTGTATGATATGTTTGCTTTTACAAAATAAAATTTAGGGCAAGATACAGGAAAAATTTCTGTTTCTCAATTTGCATCTAGATAAAGTTATATTTTCCCGGAGAGGTAAACATATAATGTTATACTCCTTTTCCCTACTCTTCTGGTGGTATAATCTGTTGATAGGAGATATACATATTTCATTGATTATGAAGCTGAATTACAGAAGGGTTGTTTGCTTTTTTCTATTCGCGAATCTAACTTTTCGTTCCTGTAGACATTCCCCGCATTAATACAAACTGTGAATCCTATTAAAACAAGAAAAAGTAAATGGCGTTAGTTGTTAATGCAGCATCTTAAGGTAAAATGTTATCACTTACTTTTTCGGAATAAAGAAAATCACAAAACAAATCTCTAAACCAAAAATTACATTTTTCTCCATAAAGTGACAATTTTAAGAACATATACATGTATTTGCAGATATAAGTAATACGATATCGTGTTTAATGGAGTTGTCATTATTCATTAAATAACACTTTTAATATTTTTGGCATCTTAAAACAGTTGCTGCTAACATGATAGAAGAGATGAGCAGCCGTACACTCCATGGTAAGGAATCTTTATACATATTGATAAGACTGGAATGTGATGCTACCATAATAAGTTGTGTTATTATAAAATAGCCTAGAATTATCAAACCTCTGTGACAATGCTATGTTATGAGCTAACTCTTTGTGACGGCGTTAATTCCCAAGAAATCAACCAATTAACCATGACATTGCCATGTACTACGATTTGACTGAGACATAAATGGCGAGTGTTTTCGATAAAGTCGTTTGAACGTGCCCTTCTTGGCCATCTTTTCTTATTTCCTTTTGCCTATTGAATGTGTTCCCCTATAAGCCATTAAACTATATCCATACAGTAGTTTGATCGATTTTGAGTTCGAATTACGGTTTTATTAACAATTGATTTTTTTTTTTTTTTTTTTTTTTTTTATCATGTGTAAGATGATGTTCAATTTAATTCAGATATACATATTTCATTGATTATGAAGCTGAATTACAGAAGGGTTGTTTGCTTTTTTCTATTCGCGAATCTAACTTTTCGTTCCTATAAACATTCCCCGCATGAATACAAACTATGAATACAATTAAATCCTGAAAAATAAATGGTGTTAGTTATTAATGTAGCATTTTAAGGCCACCTGTTATCATTAGCATTTTTTGGAGAGAAAAAAATCTCCAAAAAAATCCTTTCACCAAAAAATGATTGAACTCCAATTAGTTACATTTCTAAAAACACATACACGCATGTGCAGATATTAGCAACACGATGTTGTGTGTAATGGAATTTTCGTTAATCATTATACAACACTTTTGATATTTTTGACAGGTGCTGCTGATGAGATAGAAGAGACATTAAGAAGTACACAACAAGGTTAGGAATCTTTATACATATTGATTAGTGTGGAATGTGATGCTGACATATCCAAGTTATGTCATTTTAAGAAAGCTTGGAATTGTCAATCATCTGTGACAATGTTATGTTATGATCTAACTCTATGTGATCGCGTAAACTTCCCAGGGATCAACCAATTAATCGTGACATTGCCATGTACTACGATTTGACCGAGACATACATGGCGGGTGTTTTCAATAAAGTCGGTAGAACGTGCACTTCTTGGCCATCCTGTCTTACTTGCCTTTTACCTTTTACCTATTAAATGTTTTTCCTGTAAACCAGTGTCCATTGAAATATGTCCATACAGTAGTGGGGTCGATTTTGAGTTTGAATTACGATTTTATTAACAATGTTTTTCTTACATGTGTTAGACATCATCCCATGTTTATTTAAAATACTGTTGCAGTAAAAGTTTGCATCCTATTTTTACGTAAGATGATGGTTTTTTTTTATTGCTGAAAAATCAATACTTTAAAAAAAAACCACCATGAGTCATGAGGTAAAACAAACAAACAAGAATAACCAATGAATATATCATTTATATTTTTGTCTGCATTTTGTCCTGGCGAGATGACCGTTGCAAGATAACTTAAACTGCAGAGCAATCTAAGAGGAATTTTAGAAATAACAAATCCGATTTTCAAAAATATACGCATATATAATTTTGTACTTAAGGCTATGTCCGCGTTACCGCACCTGCACTAATTAAGAAAATAGGTTATTATCCTAAACAATCCCGTACTAGTGCGTTGCATGCTACAAACTGGAACTACACGAAAACGTAGTAAGCTGAATATTTCAATGCATTATTTGTCGATGTTGTTTTGTTTAACATTTAAAGTTTTGTTATGTTAAGTTCACTGCTGCTAATTTAACTTCTTTACAGTATATTGATAAAATTTAATATGATTACAGGAAATAATATAAAACCAGTTCAATAAATTTGAATGAAACAATTTGTAAACAACATAGATACCATTGATTAATTAGAACGCATTATTAAACAAAGACTGATTAAATATTATCAATATTTTTTTTATTGATTTATGTGTAATCATCGTGTTCTTTTGTATTATTCTCACAAAACATACAATATATAACTATGTAAAATATATAATATATCAAACTGTCTGAGACGTTAGGAACTTCAGTTGGTGTATGCTATGTTTGCTTTTACAGGAAAGTTATATCTTCCCTGAGAGGTAAACATATTATGTAGTACTCCGATTTCCTTCTCATCGGGCGGTATTATCAGTGAATAAGGGATATAAATGTTTCTTTGATTATGAAGCTGAATTACAGGGGGGTTGTTTGCTTTTTTCTAATCGCTAATCTAACTTTTCGTTCCTATAAACATTCCCCGCATGAATACAAACTATGAATACAATTAAATCCTGAAAAATAAATGGTGTTAGTTATTAATGTAGCATTTTAAGGCCACCTGTTATCATTAGCATTTTTTGGAGAGAAAAAAATCTCCAAAAAAATCCTTTCACCAAAAAATGATTGAACTCCAATTAGTTACATTTCTAAAAACACATACACGCATGTGCAGATATTAGCAACACGATGTTGTGTGTAATGGAATTTTCGTTAATCATTATACAACACTTTTGATATTTTTGACAGGTGCTGCTGATGAGATAGAAGAGACATTAAGAAGTACACAACAAGGTTAGGAATCTTTATACATATTGATTAGTGTGGAATGTGATGCTGACATATCCAAGTTATGTCATTTTAAGAAAGCTTGGAATTGTCAATCATCTGTGACAATGTTATGTTATGATCTAACTCTATGTGATCGCGTAAACTTCCCAGGGATCAACCAATTAATCGTGACATTGCCATGTACTACGATTTGACCGAGACATACATGGCGGGTGTTTTCAATAAAGTCGGTAGAACGTGCACTTCTTGGCCATCCTGTCTTACTTGCCTTTTACCTTTTACCTATTAAATGTTTTTCCTGTAAACCAGTGTCCATTGAAATATGTCCATACAGTAGTGGGGTCGATTTTGAGTTTGAATTACGATTTTATTAACAATGTTTTTCTTACATGTGTTAGACATCATCCCATGTTTATTTAAAATACTGTTGCAGTAAAAGTTTGCATCCTATTTTTACGTAAGATGATGGTTTTTTTTTATTGCTGAAAAATCAATACTTTAAAAAAAACCCACCATGAGTCATGAGGTAAAACAAACAAACAAGAATAACCAATGAATATATCATTTATATTTTTGTCTGCATTTTGTCCTGGCGAGATGACCGTTGCAAGATAACTTAAACTGCAGAGCAATCTAAGAGGAATTTTAGAAATAACAAATCCGATTTTCAAAAATATACGCATATATAATTTTGTACTTAAGGCTATGTCCGCGTTACCGCACCTGCACTAATTAAGAAAATAGGTTATTATCCTAAACAATCCCGTACTAGTGCGTTGCATGCTACAAACTGGAACTACACGAAAACGCAGTAAGCTGAATATTTCAATGCATTATTTGTCGATGTTGTTTTGTTTAACATTTAAAGTTTTGTTATGTTAAGTTCACTGCTGCTAATTTAACTTAACTTAAAATAGCCTAGAATTATCAAACCTCTGTGGCAATGTTATAAGCTAACTCTTTGTGATGGAGTAAGCCCCAAAAGAATCAACCGATTAATCATGACATTGAAATGTCCTACAATTTGACCTAGATATACATAGCAGGTGTTTTCGATTAAGCCGATTGAACTTCTTGAACATTCTTTCTTAATTGCCTTTTACCTTTTAAATGTTTTTACTGTAAATCAGTTTCCATTAAAATATGTTCGTACAGTAGCTTAATCGATTTTAAGTTCAAATTACGGTTTTAGTAACAATTATTAGTATTTGTTTTAAATCATGTGTAAGACCTCACCATATGTTTTTTTGAATCTTCTTACCTAAAATGTTTTCATCCTTATTTGACATTAGATGGTGTTAGTTTTTATTAATGGGAACTGTCTATAGTTTCTAAAATACATGAGTTCTTTGGTTAAGGAAAGAAAGAAACAAACAAAAATATTTCATAAATATATCACTAATATGTAGGTTATGATCCTAAAAATTGATTTATGTGTCATCATACCTTTCCTTTGTACCATTATCCCAAAACATACAATATAAAACTATATAATATTTTAACTTTTCGAGACATTAGGAATTCTAGTTATCATTTACCCTTTTGGTATCAAGAAAATCACAAAACAAAAAATCCAAACCCAACATTTCATGTAACTCCTTAATATGATTTTGTTATACTAGTATTCACATACATGTATATGCAGCTATTAGTAACACGATTTCGTGTATAATGAGTTTTCATATCGTACAACGTTTTAGATAATTTTGACCTCTTAAAACAGAAGCTGCTGCTGCGATAGAGGATAAGCCACGATCTATACGACAAGGTAAGGAATTATTACACATATTGATAAAAATGGAATGTGATGCTATCATATCCAAGTAACTTACTAGAACTGCAATTTAAACGTAGAAAGCTCAATATTTTACTCACTATTTGTAAATGTTGATTAGTAAACATTCAAGGTTTTCCAATATTCAGTTAACTGTTGCTAATTTGCTCATGAATATTGACTTATGTGTCATCATCCCTTTCCTTTGTACAATTTACACTTAATATACAATACACACTTTTTAATATATCTATATTTAAGGACTGACCTTCATTTTGACGGTGTATACGGAAGTATGAATGCATTTTGAAACGAACATATTTCATTGTGCGCGTTTGCGCTCAATAAAGAATATGTTCGTTGCCAATTGCTTTCATACCACCGTAGACGCCGTCAAAATGAAGGCCAATACTTATATTTACATTCATTTTTTTAAAATGCTACATTACGCAGAAAAAGTCGGTGAGGGTTGCCACGATGGTAACTACGGTAGTCGTGGTTGCTAGGACAATATAGTTCCAGTAAATCTACATCGATATATGAGTAGTATTAGAAAAAACGCAGTGAACAAAACTATTTTTTTCCTTTCATGGTTTTTAAATTTTAAAGTTAACAATGTGAAAGCCCTTCGAACTTTTCTATTCATTCACAACGGTCGTCAAGTACTCGCATTGGCACACTGCTCATGTAGTGACAAGGTCAAAACAAAGCCGCCATTGTTGACGTTACCGCTAGAGAAATTTGAAAGTGCATCCATGGAATAAGAAGTTTGTCAGCATTCTTTTGTTGTATAATGAGACATAATGGATCCCGAACATGTTCTATGTATCTAGATGGTGAGTGAGCTAAGCATTGCTTGACATTGGATTGTTATCTCGCTGAAGCGTGAACAGCGCCATATTTGAAACAAGTCTCAATCCACCGAGCATTTTTTCACTTTGTATACGCTAATTTATACGCAGTCAGAGTTTACTAAGCTGAAGAAGATAGACATGTAAACATAATGTAATAAATGTTCGAAACGTTAGGAACTCCAGTTTTTGTATGATTTACTTTTAAATAATTCAGTTTTAGGGAAAGTTAAAATGAAGAATATCTCTTTCATAATTTGCAACTTCGGAAAGTAACATTTTCCTCGTGATGAAAATATTATGTTATACGCCTATTCTCTAATCATCTGACGGTATAATCTGTAAAGAAAAGATATAAATGTTTCTCAGAGTATGACGTTGAATCAAGGCAGGGTTGTTTACTTTTTCAAATCGCTAATCTAACTTGTCGTTCCTGTAAACATTCCCTCATTGATACATATTGTAAACAAAATTAAATCAAGAAAACTAAATGCTACATTAAGTTAGTAATGTAGCATCTGAAGGTAACCTGTCATCATTTACCTTTTTTGGAATAAAGAAAATAACAAAACAAAATTTTCAAACAAAAACTCATTTAACTCCATCAAGTGAAATTGTTATATACAAATACAAGTTTGCGTAGATATCAACAACACGATTTCATGTGTAATGGCATTTTCACTACAGAACATTTGTAATATATGACATCTTAAAACAGTGATTGCCGTTGCAACAAGAGAGACGAAACGTTGTACACAAGAAGGTAAGGAATCTATATGCATACATTGTATTGATAAGACTTGAATGTGATGCTATCATATCCAAGTAAGGTCGTTTTAAAATAGTTTTCGATAGAGCCGGTGATGCGTGATTTCCATTTTATCTTTCAAGTCTGGTCGAGTTTGATTTCGAAGAACGGTTTTGTTAAAAATTGATATTTTTTCAAATCATGTGTTAAGCCCCAGTCACACCGAGCTTGCGACCAGGATACACCAAGCGGCTAATGAGAAATGTTTGAATTGCGGGTAAATCGTAGAAAGATCGTGCGACTAGTCGCAGAGGTCGTGGGTGTTCACACGTTCAATATCAGTCGCAGCAAGGTCGACGGTCATAATCAAACCGTCTTACTTGCTATTCTAAATCGTAAGCGTTCGCAGACAGGTCTAACATGTTCGCGCCACCTGTCATACGATCCCACGATCGGTGGTGCGACCAGTCCCGACTTGTTGCACAACCTTACGATTGGTGGTACCACCAGTCTTTAGCTACCGGACGAGTATGTTTGGAGTGATTTCTGGGGTTCAAGTCACTCTCCACTACAACACCGAAAGAGAGCTTTGCCGATAATTCAATTTGTGTCGGTGTCCTATAAAATATTCCTCCCCATAAGATACATATCCGGATGAGTATTTTATGCATACAGTACTCATCAAGGTGAATGTTGTATGAATAAAAAACTCACCCCCCCCATAAAATATTCATCCCCCCTAAATCTTATCAAACCTTTTTACTTTGATACACATTTTATAGCATTACTACATCATGTTACCTGTAGTACATGATTCGTTTATGTCTGTCCAGGTAATACACACTAGGGTGTCACCTTTGTGGGGACTGGGGCCCTGGGGGCTAATCAATACAGGTGAGACCTATAGGTGACAGGTGAGCAGCACACAGGTGTGGCCTTTACCCAGAAAAAAATGCATTATTATTGATGTCATATGTGGGATGAATAAAACAATTACATACTTTAACTGTACTGGAGTTTAAAAAAAAAATGTGAGAATAATGCAATTGACATTGGTACTTCTATACTGTATTCTGAAAACTAAAGTTTTTTCTTCTTGATATTAGAGTTCACTTCAATTTCTTACTGTATAAATAATGACTCCTTCCCCCAAAAAACAAAAAAGATAATCAAAAAAATCTTTATTACAGTTCAAATGAAGTGTAAAAGTGAGAATATAAACTTGGCTTATTTAGATACTTGTATACTGTATTTAAAATGTATTTAGAAAGAAAGAACTAGTTGTATATTTTTTGATATTGTAGTAAAGTTGATTTCTTACATTTGTCCTATAGTATATGACTATAGGATAAGGTAGATGGTTATTTTATGGGGGTGGATAGGTATTTTATGACTAAAGAAGAGGGTAGATGGTTATATCATGGGGAGGATAGGTATTTTATGGCTATAGTAGAGGGTACAGGGTTATTTTATGGGGGTGGAAAGGTATTTAATGGCTATTGTATAGGGTAGATGGCTATTTTATTGGGATGGATAGGTATTTTATGGCTATAGTAAAGGGTACAGGGTTATTTTATGGGGGTGGATAGGTATTTTATGACTAAAGTATACGGTACAGGGTTATTTTATGGGATATGATAGGTATTTTATGGCTTTGATATAGGGTAGATGGTTATTTCATGGGGATGGGTAGGTATTTCATGGCTATTGTATAGGGTAGATGGCTATTTTATTGGGGTGGATAGGTATTTTATGGCTATAGTAAAGGGTACAGGGTTATTTTATGGGGGTGGATAGGTATTTTATGACTATTGTATAGGGGGTTGATGGTTATTTTATAGGGGCGATAGGTATTTTATAATTATAGTATAGGGTAGATGGTTATTCTATGGGGTTGGATAGGTATTTAATGGCTATGGTATATGGTAGATGGTTATATATGAAGGTGGATAGGTATATATAATGGCTATAATTTAGAGAAGATGGTTAATTTATCGGTGTGGAAACGTATTTAATGGCTATAGTATAGGGTGGATGGTTATTTATGGGGGTGGATAGGTATAAAAAATGGCTATAATTTAGAGAAGATGGTTATTTTATCGGTGTGGAAAGGTATTTAATGGCTAGAGTATAGGGTAGATGGTTATTTATGGGGGTGGATAGGTATTTAATGGCTATAGTATAGGGTACAGGGTTATTTTATGGGGATTGACTGAATTGACTGAAATTTCAAAATCTTCCTCTCAAGACCCAGATATGGTAGAACCAAAATTTCTTCATTTTCCTTGTTTAGAATCAGAGGTGGTAGTTTCAAATACTTTTCAGTCTTAAATCTGTATGCTAGATATTGAATAAGGTTGTTTTATTGTTTTTTTATCACTTTGAATAAAACTTCTGTTCATGTTTTAAAAACAAAATCATATATATAGTATAAATATATCAGAAATCGGGTGACCGTTAAGGCCCATGGGCCTCTTGTTTATTTTTTGATCCATATATATATTATGACCATACGATGTATTCTCCATGTTATCAAAATCCTATACTAGTAAAATTACAATCTTTGCAATGTTGTCTGTAAATTACTATGTATATACTTCTTGATTTCATATCTTTAGTATTGATAATATAATTGCATTGTGTCCATGTACAATTAGTTTACTATACATTTTTCAGCAACATATTTGGCTGTAATTATGCTTGAATTGTATTTCAAATCTTTGCAATGTTGCCTTTAATTATATCTGAATTTATATTCATATATAATGCTATTACTCTGTAATATATCATTGCCGCTGATCATAGAGAAGGCCTCAAGGGGGAATGATTTTGCGACTAATTGAGCTATCTTCTATAAATAAAGCATTATCATTATTATTATTATTCTTACAAGATAACCAGTAGTAAGATAGATATATATATATTCAATGCCGCCTCGACTATTCTCCATAATTATGTTTATTAAAGATTTAAAAGACACTGTAATAAGGTATACATGTAGCAAACACAAGTGAAAGCAAGCGCCTGCTTTTATAAAAGCACTGGATAAAGTCTTGAGTGTAATCAACCAAACATAACTCAAACTATAAGTACTGAATTTTATAAACTGATTACCTATTCAGGTAAAATGTACTTCCATCATAATTTTACACATTCATAATGTGTTTATACAGCCTCTCTTAAGAAAAACTCATTACATACATGTTTTCAGCCTGTTTTTGTTGTCATTATCTGTCCAGCCTGTAACATCTCATCTTTGCTAGCCAGGGATTTGGCACAAATTACCATCCCATGGTCTACATATTTTTTTTTATATCATACATTATATAATACACATATATGAATTGTGGGCTAGAAATTAATACCAAGTCCTGTGCGTGGAAATAATAATGGCGACACTCGGTACCAAGTTGCCTTGTCGACTATGTCATGATTTATGCCAAAAAAACAAAGGAGGACAATACTTACAGAAACATTTTCTGTATTTGATCAGTTGATAGAGATAATTGGCCATATTCCAACTGTAAATGATAACCAAGGGAAATACATAGTTGACAAGTGCTGAAATAATCTTGAAAGTCTAAAGTTTTGCTAGTAAAGTGTCTCTGCTAGGTGGCAGTGGAGGGAAAATTAAACACAAAGCTAAATCCGCCAAGGTTGAATAGTATAAATTTAAATTATGATCCCTTGACTATTGAAGCTGTTGAGATAACGAGGTTCGATTGTAAAATAAGATGTGTCTTCAACAGTATGCTCCAGTGAAATTACACTATAAAGTCAGCATCAGTTCTGCGCTATCACAAGGAAACAAACATGAGCATACCACAGACTCCCAAAACACAAATTAATTATGCACACACTCACCACACGCATGCTTCTCGCAAATGGGGGAGGCCCTCCTTAAATGACTATGTATAGCTGTTGATAGGATGTACATTAAATGATACTAAACCAAACCTGAAGTTTATTTTGACATAGATATCTTATTTATTTGGATAATGTCATGGAAATGATGACTTGTAATTTTAAACAAATGATTTGTTAATTTGCATGCACTGTATGAATGTTATTTTGATAACATTGTACCCATATGATTCGATGATTGTCGTGAAGTGATGCTATATATGAATTTAATACATTTGCTGCTCTATTACCTGACCTGGAACGCATTCGAAACCATAGCGAGACAATACAATACTGTGGTATAACTGTATATATATTGTGTACATAGTTTAAGCGTCTGCAAAACCAGCTGTTCTTATTTACAAATGTCCAGGTGACGAGAAAGTTCGCAATCGTGTATCAGTATCAGCACCAAGCTGTCGTTGTTGCTCTATCATAAGGGCCAATATGAGTTATCTGCCAGGCACAAATTGTATACTTGCTAAAGTTCTCTTCGGGTGTCGTATTGGAGACTGACTTGAACCGCAGAACTCACTCTCAGTATACTCGTCCGCCAGCTAACGGACTTACTGGTTGCACTACCGATCGTGGGATCGTCCGACAGATTACACGACTAATCGCAAGGCAGCAGGACCAGTAGCACGACCAATCGTGCTACTGCTAGCACGACCGGCCGTACGACCAAGTAAGACCTGTCTGCGACCTCTTACGTTTTGGAATCTCAGGAAGGAAGTTTTAAACAAGACCATTCACCTTCTGCGACTGATTGTGATCATTCGCACACACACAACCTTTGCGACTAGTCGCACGATCTTTCAACAATTAGCCCGCAGTTGCAGTCAGGTCGTATCCTGGTTGCAGGCCCGGTGTAAATGGGGTTTTACGATGACCTACCACCGATCTAAGGACAAACATTTCCGATTGATCCTACCTCCACTAATTGCCACTAGTCGAACGATCGTGAAATCGTACGATACGGTGTGACTGACGCCTCCTGCGGTAAAACATTGCATCTTATTTTGTCGTAAGATGAGGTTAATTGTTATTGATGGAAACTGTCTATAGTTTCTCAAAAACATGAGTTCTATTGTTAAACAAACACACACAAATGAATCATAAATATATCACTAATATTTTCGTCTGTATTTTGCCCTTTGGCAGACGGCCTTAGCAAAATACATGAAATAACAGAGTAATCAAAAGGAGATTGAAGAACTAACCCATCTTAATTTTACAAAACCTACGCATCTATTAGTTGTTTTATGTGTGCTTATATGTCTAGGCCCGGCGTTTCCGCACCTTTACTAATTCAGAAAGCGGGTTGATGATCCTAAACAATCCCATACTGGCGAGATACATGTTACTTACAGGAACTACAACGGAAACGTAGAATGATAATTATTTCTACTCACTATTGTTAAATGTTGTTTTCGTAAAGATTCAAGATATTGTAATGTTTAGTTAACTGTTGCTCATTTAACTTTTCCTCCGTTTACATAAGGGCTTCTATCACAATTAACAAATTTAATAACTACAATTCTATACAGACAGACAGTCAGAGAATGGCACAAGGATATGAACAGTAGGCAAGAGCTTCACGGATACACTCAGATTCATTCTTGCCAAGGAGTAAATCCAGTGTTACAGTTAAGCAAACATGAATCGTCTGTGTCTGCTTGAAAAATAACTGTAATGGTTAAAATGTCGTTTTTTTATGTGACAGAGAAGTTGATGTGTCGTTTTAGTGGAAAAGAATCGAGCGATATAATTATGTATTTCTTGATAATATGTCCTAATTTGTAAAGAGTAGAGACCTATCATTTGACCAAGGTGTTAACACTGTAGACATTAATGATTATATTGTGTTTTCAAACTTAGATGATAATGAACTGCATAGTTTCCTTCCTGGTGATCGAAGCGTCATTCGTCTTAATGGTGATATCTGGGAATGTTTGATGATATTATAAAAACACATCAAGAACGTTGAAAACAATGTTCAATGAAATGAATGACTTTTTAAATGCCATATGAATAATGACAAAGACAATTCAAGAATTGCAAGAAATAGTGTAAATAATAACTGCAATACTGTACACGGAACTAATTCAATAATTTTGAATGAAATAATTTGTGAAATAATATTGATAACATTGAATATTTAGTACGCACCAATGAACAAAGACTGATTAAATATCATCAATCAAATAAATATTGATTTATGTGTCATCAGAAGGAGGAACTATTATGTAATACTCCGATTCCCTTCTCATCGGGCGGTATCATCTGTAGATATACATATTTCTCGGAGTATGACGCAGAATTACGGGAGGGTTTTTACTTTTTCTAATCGCTAATCTAACGTTTTGTTCTTGTAAGCATCCCCCGCATACCTACAAATTGTAAACACAATCTAATAAAGAAAAATAGATACTGGAATTTATTAATACCCGCACGTTACCATTACCATTTTGGAATTAAGAAAATCACAAAAAAAATACCAAACCAAAAATTTGACTTTAATCCATGAAGTGCTATTTTTATACACAAATACATGTATGTGCAGATATTAGTATGTACACGATTTCGTGTGTAATGGAATTTTCCTTCTACAATATTTGAAATATTTTTGACATCTTAAATCAGTTGTTGTTGAGGCGATAAAAAAGATGAGACGGTGTTCACTACAAGGTAAGAAATCTTTATACATATTGATAAGACGCTATCATATCCAGGTTATGTCATATCAAAATCGCCTAAATTTTTCCATCCTTTGTGGAAGTGTTATGATATGAACTAACTCGTTGGTTTTATCCGGGTACTCCGGTTTCCCACAAAAAGACAACCGACAAGCTACCACCCGGGCCAACAAGAATGATTGATATTCGTTGAAGTAACTTGTTTCATAATTGCTGTAAAATAGATAAAGTTTATTTTTTATTGAAGGTGATCATTATGAAGCCTTATAATCTATGGACACTGAGGACTCCCACCTTGATTGAATAATTTGTCCTGTTTGAAAATTTCCATTTTATCAATTACTGTATTGGTAGCTAAATGTTATAGGTACAATCAGCACGTTAATTATTCATGATAAAATACTGTAGAACTTGTTGATGATTTGTTTAACCCCCATTGTTTGCCGTAACCTTGAAGATCATAATTATATCTTTTGAGTAGTTTTGCGGATCTTAATATAAACACTTTATTAAAATTTGATTTAAAATTTAAACAAATTTTAAATAGGCCATATCCGTGGCTCTGTTGTCCCATGCTTATCTAACGTATTAAACTTATCATATAGTACCAAAAATAAAGTAACAAGTGACCAGAGAAGTTGGATAGGGTGGCGAAACGAAAAATTCAAGCCCAAAACAAAATATTTCCAATCTAGACAAATACAATAACCATTCGTGTTTATTGATAGATTGTTTTTATTTTAATATCTTGTGTGTTAACTGTTCTCATTATTCAGAATCAGATGAGAAATATGAGGCCCCAAACAGACATTTTTTAACTCCAGGTAGGTGAAAACAATTGATAATAATGTTTCCACACCGTTAGAAATTAATCTTGAAGAACAAAATAATTATTTTGGAGTAGATTTTCAAATTTGATTTAAACGTTAAACAAATCTTAAATTGGTCATATCCATGACTCTGTTGTCCACTGCTTACCTCCCTTATTCAACTTATCATATGGTGCCCATAAAAAAGTAACAAGTGACCAGAGAAGTTTGATAAGGTGGTGAAACGCGAAAGTCAAACCCCGAACAAAATAGTTCCGATCATTCATGTTTATTGATAGATTGTTTTTATTTTATTCACTTATTTGTTGACTGTTCTAATTATTCAGAATCAGATAACAAAGATGAGGCGACAAAAACAAACAGACATTTTTTATCAACTCCAGGTAGGTGAAGAGAATTGATGATAATGTTTCCACACCATTAATTAACGGTATAAACGATTTTTATAATGAATATATAAAAAGATATTTTAGGGGTTGTTTAAATTAAATTGAAGTATTTTTGTCGGAATAATCATAATATGAATCATGTATCAACACACCTAGATCACAAAAATCTATTTTTTTCGTTAAATCGACAACGATATGTATCTTGTTTTGTTTACTACCCCTTCTACAGATTCTGCAAATTCTGATGACAAATGGGATGACACAAACATGCAAGATAGAAGTCACTTTACCCCAGGTCAGTGAAAGATTATTGTTATTTCAAACAAATATTTCAAATTGTTTACGCTTCTCATCTCGGATATATGGTCAGATAAACAGAGCTTTGTAACTTGTGATGTTTAGTTATAATATTTATCTAAGTCGAATTAATTTCAATTTAAATCTTAATTGCAACAAGAATTTTTTCTCTCATAACATTAAAATCATATCTAGAAAAAACACATCTTTTTCTTTTTGGAAATACAGAATCCCTGTTTCCAACCGAAAACAATGGCAATAATTTTTGAAGTCACAATTGAAGGTGATTATGCAAAGCATAGTAGCATGACGTCACAATAAAAAGATCAACCAATAAAAATAACGACCATTGTTTACTAACTAGTGGGAAACCAAATATTTTATGAGTCGGGAGTGAACGAACCTATAGTGATTGTTGCAGAGTAGCTTCATATAAATAGATAATTAAAAGCTAATGTATATTGATATGAAAAAGCAGAACAAATCACTCGAATCATCAGGTGTAACACAAGTTTTAATGGGCAGTAATATAGTAATTACAATAATAGTAATTATAGCTTCACGATAATGGATATTGTTTCAGACCCAAGTCTAGCAACATATTAAGGGCGTAATAAAAAAATGATATATGGGAATGTTCAGAACACAAAACGGATATTATGAAATTATGCTTCAAACAACATATATCCTGATTTTACCATATAGGCGTGAGAGTAATGGGATTAACGTCCTATTGACAGCTAAGGTCAGTTAAGGACGTGCCTCCATGTCTGTTGTGTATGAGTGCAAGTGTGTATGTGTCCCGGAGACAGGGTATGTCGGTGAATTTACCTCCTTGTAATAGCACGGATCTTAACCCGACTTTATAGTGCTATCGCACTGAAATACAATGCCGAAGGCACTAAACACAGCATTCTGTCCGTTCACATTATACTGACAACGGGTGAACCAGTTGTTGCCATTCCCCTTAATGTTGAACATTAAGCAGGGAATAACTACCATCTAGGGGGTTTGGTATATCCCGGCCTGGGGACAGAACCTATTGCCTTTCTCACCTAGGCGAATGTTCAACATTAAAGCAAAAAGTAAGGTGTTGGAAAGCAAGGCGTTAGGTAATAAAAAGTTGATAGAAGTATAAAGAAAAAACAAAAATCGCAAATGTTACAATTGGTGCAGCAGATTTATTTGGTTGCTTTTTTATCCCCAAGTAGAAGGCACAAAAGCAAATCCCCAAATTCTGCAGGAGGTTCCCATCTTAGTCGCTTCTTACGATACACGCAGTCGGTAATAGCAAGTGTTTTCTTTCCTTGATCCCTGACCTGCAGTGTTGATGTAGAATTGATAAATGGTCTTATGCTGTGAGTGTCTGTATATTTAAAAGATGAAGCTAGCAAACTCAGCGAAAGAAGAATTTTGAAATTAACCTTTTCCAGAGAATTATGCATCCAGAAGAAAGTCATTACTAAGAAACAAAATATATGTTTTATACCATGTATGAAAATGTGATATCAGCCCCACATAACAATTATTTCATAAATATTGGAAATCTAAGACTAAATAGATATTGAGAGAATTTTAGACACGATTTATAATAATTACTTTTTTGCGGCTAATCCGATGCACTTCTCTCCAATCGCCAGTATGATTTACATACAAGGTAACCATCTTAGGTAACCCTACTGTATCGGGCCTGTGAATATGTCTACTTTGTAACGGGGTTGATTGACCTGAAACTTAATCAGTGACCTTGTATCGATAACCGAGTGAGAGTATATGTAAGCACTCATAATCAATCATTGACATATTGACTGTTTAGTAAAAAGTGTTAATTTAAATACAAAATAAAATATCCATTACGCGCTACACTTTCGAAACCATGCCCTCGAAATAGGATGCGTGTCGCATGTGTGAAAAAAGCTTGACCACAGATGTGACAATGTCATAATGAAATAAAATTTATTGAATTATTTAACAGAATCTATCTAATTCTTAAATATATTAAATATATATAAAAAAAATCCTTGGATTAATGCGGGGCCTGTAGTTTTCCTAAGAAGGTAACTGGCATAAAACATGTTGGCCAACGAGACCTGGATAACTATTTAACATATTTAGATTTCTATGTCTAGTAAATGTATAGTTACTTTCTAAACGTATCCAAAAGTAGCAGGTTACTACCGATAGCCTTGAAATAGGTAACGAAGCATATCCTAATGCCGCCGAGCGCTCGCATGTCCTTCCATGTATCTCTATGATATATTTTGGTTGCGTGTTAACACAGTATAAAGGTCGTGGTGTAAACACCATAATATGCAGAATTATGACTCTAAATGGAACTTAACACAGTCTTTATTATGCTTTTACATATTGTACATAATCAAACATGATATATTGTATACCTTTGAGTTTGCTTGAGACAAATTGCAAACCCTGTTCTTGAAATAAAATTTATTTAATTAAGTTCAATGTGCTAATTTATCCTCACAATATTCCTGATCTAAATCAACATTGTAAATGGTCTAAACACTTGACCAATAGATATATGGATTTCACTAAAATACTTTACGTCGTACATCTGTAAAAGCCCATATATCACTTTCAGTCCATAAACATTCATGGTAAACATGTACCTTCAAGAGCCAAGACTATTTTTTTTAATTAGTAACATAAATATCACTAACGTCTTTAGATAGCTATGATTGATTTGTGTGTCGTCTTAATTCAATTTGAATTTCAATTTTTTCAGATCCTGATGACAATGATGATGACACAAACTCGCAAGGAACACGTCCTTTAACTCTTGGTACTTGAGATTTATAGAAATATCTAAACAGGATAAATAATCTTGTTTTATCTTTATCCAAACTTTTGCGCTTTGCCCTGGGCGGATATTGATTTTACCAGTGAAGGCCGAACATTTTCATTCTTTCTTTCAATAGTATTTTCACATCATCCATTTTTTCAGGGTCCGAAGACAAAAGAAATGACATAAATACAGAAGGATTTTTTTTATCAAAGACAGGTAAGTGAGAATCTTAAAGATACTTGAAAAACGGTCTAAATTGTATTTACTTTTCATAAACGTTCTGCGAAAGGAATATTTAATTATATACATAATGTATCATTGGTCTTTATTGATATGTCTGAAATACCTTTACATCATTTATTTTGTAAATGTTTCAGATACTGATAATTGTTAACTAACCGTTGGGATTATAAATATTATAAATAGTTTTTTTTAACTTGTATATGTATATTACACATATAAAAACGGGCAGAATTAAAAGCTTAAATGAAACTAAACTGAAAATACTCTTTTACAGTTAGTGTATTATCATGCATATTATATTGTACAATTTGAAGTGTGGGTAATACGGTTATATTGCCTTGGAATCGAAAAAATGCAATTAACTAAAATAGGATGCACTAACTAATATGGATTTACATGCACAAGGGGCTCCATACAAACTGTCATGCGTCACACTTACAACCAAAAACTTCCTCTTTTGTAAACAATGTTATGATTTTGTTTGAACACCACAGAATACAAACATCATGCATGTTTTTGATATGTCTAAAATGTAATGACATAATTTATTCTGTTAACCTTTCAGATCCTGGTGACAGCAGTGATGATGCAACCTCGCAAGGACACTGTCATTCAACAACAGGTAATTGCTATTAATAAAAGTATTTAAAAAGGCATAACGTTAAAAACAATATTTAATTTACATGTTGTCTGCACTGCCAATTATATTTCCTTTTTATACCAATTCCGTCTTAAGTTATCTTCTCTTGGAAGCAGGTATTGATTGTTACGTCACTTGTTTGTGAGAGTAACGTCATCAATTTTTGAAGAAAACGACGTAATTTTCTCACACAAACCAATGACGTAACAATCAATACCTGACCCCCAAGAGAAGATAACTCTGCACTACGCAAAGACGGATTATACATGGCCCGTTCCTAATGTCCAGGTTTACAACTCGATTTGTACGGGAAAGCCCTGTAAACACGGATGATCAAAGCGGGAGCCAAGTTTGAAAAGGGAGGAGGATGTAGTCGGGCAACTTCTCACCACACTATGAAACCAAGGGATAACAGTCAATGTCCGTGTTGAAACTTATTGAATCACCTTAGCAGTAATTATCCATCGCCGGAGCTGAACCGTTTAGTAGCACAACAGTTATCACTTGGAGGGCTCAATTGCAAAATCAAACTAATAAGTCACTTATCCTTGCCTCTTGCATAAACTACGGTATATACATTTATTTACAGTGATGAATTAAATAATCTAGGTCTTACTGATGTTTGGTTAAATCAATGTATTTTTCAGCATAATATGTAATTACCATTGATAAAACAAAGAAGTTTTGATCAAGGCATACAATCCCTAAGGGCCTCAGTGGAAAACTCTCCAAAATGTTTATTGTATAAAAATATCACAGATTGTGGAGAATCATTACAATTTTACCTCACAAAATATATACCAATGAAATATCACATTTGTTTAACTCGAATCCGTTTATCTACACATTCTTTAGCTGTAGAAGTTGGAAGGTATAATAATATACCTAGAGAACGTAGATATTGTAAACAGTGTAACTCCCCCTCTGAAGTAGAGGACAATTTCATTTTTCATTAGTCTGTTCTAAATTCCAAATTCTCAGATCACGTTTTATCAAAGGATATTATTGGCAAAACTCTGTGTTTAAAGTCGTTCAGTTATTGAGTGTCCATAATATTAAAGAATTGTATATACTCGGAAAATTCATCTATGAGGCAAACAAATTAAGGGTATTATAATGGAATATGATTGGCTGCATTCTCTGTACATTGTCCATGATTGGTGTATAATATGTTTTGTATACTGATGGGCCAATGGCCTAAAGTTCGAATAAAACTTGAAACTTGAAGTGCAAAATGAATTCTATCAGATACATATACGTTTAAAAAATATATTAAGTTCATTAGACAAACATACTATAGGAAGTAACACGGGTGATCAAACCGTGATGTCAAGTTTGTAAAGGGGCCCAAGAGAAGGGAATGTAGTCGGCATACTTCTTAACGCATTATGAAACCGAGGAATAAAAGTCTATTTCCGTGTTGAAACTTATTGAATCACATGAGCAGTAATTATCCTTTGCCGTGGCTGAACTTTTTAGCATCACAACAACTATCCCCTGAAGGGCCCCATCGCAAAATTAAACTAACCAGTCACATATGCCTACCTCTTGCATAAACTGCCTTATATATGAATAGAATTGCAAAAATTAATTCTATCAGATACATAC